CCCCCCATCCCTGCTATTAAGGTCCACCCCCAGAGTCTTGACAAGATGAGTCATGACAGGCTCATTTCCCACCAAAGCGGCGGTGTGGATTGCGGCAACACGTTCCTCTTCCTTATCAGTACGTCTGTCAGGTCCATCATAGAATTTCTGGATCGCGTCTCGGACATGATACCCCAAACTTTTGTGGTCGAATTCAGGCCATCTTCCGGATGATTTAGACACCCACATGTTGTCATGAGAAGCTCCAGCGGATAGAAGCAATTTAGCAACCGAAGAATGGCTATGACAGATTGCCAAGTGAAGAGGTGTCCAAGTCGGGTAGTTCCCTAAAGCTGGAGGGGACTTGCTCAAAGGGTCCTGAGCAAAGAGAGGCAGACATTCGCAGCAGAACCTCGCGGGCACTTCGAGATCAACCTTTTCAGCGAGAAGCCACTCGACAACGTGATAGTGCCCATTTCTTGCAGCGACATGCAGCGGAGTGGCCCAGCCAGCGTCTTCGGGCGTGCGGCAAGCATCAACCCGGAGGCACTCTTCCTTCAGAATTGCTTTCCACCTTGACACTACCCAATCTGATGGGCTGGTGAGGGGGAAAATGCCGCCGAAGGTCGCGCCAAAGAGTTTTGCCAACTTCAGTGTTGCAAGATTCCCTGCATCGGCGGCAAGAAAGGTGATTTCGCGGAGTCGCTTCTTGACTGCGTGCTGATAAACTTTGGGCTCGCAAACTTGATGTGTTTTGTGATTGACTCGCATAGAGCTACGAGAGCCCTTTCATCGTCGACATATTCGGCGATGTGCATCCAAGTCTCAACTGCAATGCGGTTGGCTGCCATTGCGCCCCGTACGAGTGACGCTGGTGGTTGTGCTAGAGTTTGGTTAACCTCAGGTACGAGACAAGATGTGGATGCGATTCTGAATGGCTCACAAGGATATGTTGATACGGATTTCCAGTTTGAAAATAGGTGTTGGCGGACCTTTGATTGAGAGAAATATCATGCCCGTTCTATGAGGTGTCTGTGTTACAGCGGGTTTGCTTTCCTTTTTCCCACTTAAAGAAGCAGGAAATAGGACGGCACCGCGTGAAGGACGCGTCCATTGCTGCGAGCGCGTCGCGCGTCGCGTCGCGATAATTTGCGCTGAGACAGAAAGGCTTTTACATGCCATCCGCACAACAAAAAGCGCAGATTATTCAAGTCAAGTTGTATTGGTTGCGAATGAACAAGCACATATCACGGTTGATATTCCGACTTTGCTGGTTCAGGAGATACGTATCGGGGTACGGCGGCTGTACTTACGGGCCAGTCGCCTCCACAGCCGGCGAAGTGGGGCCGTCGCCCACGATGTCGTCAGTGGTCACTGGATGATGCGGTTGGCAAAGGGACATAAATCCCAGCACCCTTCAGTGCCCCAATTATTTTGAGTCGAGTATACTATCTAATATTTGTTAGTTTCTGTTCAGTGTCACTTCGGGGAGCGTCCTTCCTGTTCTTTCGTGGTTCTAATTGGCGTCATCTGGAGCTGTTTTACCAACCTCTTTTGAGTTAAAAACTCCATTTAGTACCTCGATCAAAAGCATCGTATCGCGCGCGCTGAACCCGTACGGAAACAGCGAATTCTGACCCTCGTATGTAGGCTAGAACTGCCTAACAGCTTTAACCCAGCGTTGAAGAACAGGCTAGCGCTAGCTATTACACAAGAGTAGGGCTACAGAAGAGTGGACTGAAACGAGACGGGTGTATATGCTTAAACTGCATAGCAAAAACAACATTTCCAGTAAAACGGGAAACATGTTTCATTACCAAGCTTAGTCGCTACGAGGCCCAAATCTTTCTGAAATCTTCCGAGCCCGCCGCGGTAGCGACGACCATGTTCCGTTTTTGATCTTCTCTCGCATCTTAGGATCTGCCTCCTTTTTCTTGCTATATTCCATCTTGTATCCAACGATGTATCCACACTTGTGCAGCAAGCCTTCAGGGTTTGTCCAGTCGGTTTCATTATCGTACCCTCCATGTCGACCTAAGAGCCGTAAAATCTCAATCAACCCGTCAGCATTGTCAATCAATCTCTGTGGAGGATCGGCGCCCCAGTTACCCTCTCCAATATCACGGTTCATTCCCAGATCATCTAGAACTTGATCCAAGGGCTCTTTCAAGACTGCTCTCCGCCGCTCACTGTTGCAGACCGAAGCCCCATTCTGCAGCAGGAAGTCGACAGTAGGAGCCGAGCTGTTCCATGTTCTGTGGGGCTTCCAGCAGATGTGACGGCATGATCTGAGAATTGCTTTCAAGGCAGTTGTGGCTGCATTGTTGCTCTTTGTTTCATAGTGACAGCACCTAGTCATCGCCCCCGGGGCGCTGATATTGAGATCAGTAATCTTGATGTATTTTAAATTGGAGTCGATGTCAAAGTCACCGTCTTCGCACATCTGAAAAAGCCCTTCAAGGAGAATATTTAGCAGTTCTCCAGGTGATACTTGTTGCGGCGCAGTTTCCACTGTTAAACGTGCTGCCATCAGAAAGGCCACCCGTTCAAGACCGACCTGTTCCGGTCCAACTCTGTCGTTCATGTAGAAACCTTTCCATTTATCAATAAGTCGCGTTGACAATGCAGAAGGTGCCCTTATACGATCAAGGGACCAGTACACTGTTTCATGATACCACTCCCAGACCGGAGAGCTGCGCTTTATCAACTCAACAGCTAATGCAGGATGCCTGAATTCGAATGCAGTAACAAGAGGAGGATACACAGAAGTACGAACGCGATCACTCTTGCTTGATGCCACGAGAAAGCGAACAACGCGAAAACTGGTAGAGTGCGCAGAACGAAACAGCGCATGCTCGCCGAAATTGCCTGCCTCCGTTTTGATACCAACACCCATTTTATGTCTCAGGCGACGAATAATGGCTCGGTTGTCTTTCGCTGCAGCGGTGTGAATCGCGGGCACATCTTGGTTGGCACCCCTCAAACAATGGCGTTCCCTCTCAACGCATGGTGCCCGAATGCGAAGCAGCTTACGACGAAATCATCCGCTGGTATTACTTCAATGTAGTCGCAAAAGAAATTCTTGTATCGCCGCTTGATCTTACACAGACCTGAATACAGCCGTTTTGGGGCCGGGTCGACCTTACAAAGGGCATCCGCCCCAGCGTTGAGTAGTCGATGAGCAACATTGGTGCGTCCCTGGCATATGGCGTAATGCAGCGGCGTCCAGATCAGAACACTTCTGTCTTTTTCTCGATCGAATTCGGCGTCACCCTCGGTGTAAAATTCGCAATGCAGACATCCAGGTACCTCAATACTGACATTCTTCGAGAGAAGCCAGTTGACGACATTCATGTGACCACCCGCTGCAACAAAGTGCAGCGGTGTTCCCCAGCATATCTTCCTTCGAGGTGCTTCAGGTATATTAGTTTGAGAGCCTTTCAAATGGAGTTTGTGAATGACATCAATCTTTGCACCACATTCATATGCAAACTCAAGGCCAGCTAGATCACCGCAGCGCGCTGCTTGGGCGGGCAAGTTGGGCCTACTTCGAACAGCGGCTCGAACTAGATATGGCGTGAAAATTATGTGGAATCGCCGGTTGACTTGAGCTAGAGATGCTAGGTCAACCAACTTGATTGCTGATAGCTCTGGTATGAGGTAGCATAATTCCGTGGGAAGGGCAGATAGCGATGGCGGGTTCTGACACGACACCCTGATTCGACGGCACATGTGTATGAATGTGGGGGGCGCTATGACAAAACGTAGTCGATTAAGTAGAGGCATCTGGAGGGAACCTCTCTAACTGATGTTGACTTCATCTATGCTGCCTGCGGGTCTGATAAAGTCGGGTGATGTTACATTGTCAGTCCTTCGACAAGTATCAGTACATGATGACTGAGTACCCGGTTAGCACGATTCAACCTTGAGAACAGAGCATACCACCGCAAAGGGACTTCAAACATCTTTTCCATAAGAATCACTTCATGTTGTCCTTTTACCGCGTGGTGGAGGAAATGCAACACTCTAGAGTGCCGATGCGTATCTTGACGAATAGTACGACGAATAGATCTGAGAGTTCGAGAAAATGGCACTTCTTGATGCAGAAGTGTTTGGTTTCGTATTTGCTAACGAGTACCGAGGGCGCAGGTAAAAATAAAAGAAATGACACTCGCATGTGACGCAATAATTTTGAGCAAACTTCAGGGAGGTTAGCTCATATTTCTCCTTTGAGTCAGAATGAAATAAGAGACCATACGCCTTGTTGGAAGGGGCCTTTGCGGGTGTGATATGCCTTTTCCAGAGCATACGGGACAGATTTGGAGGGAAAATACTCGTTACGGCCACACAAGTATTATCGCCACTGGTTAACTCTGATCAAATTAAAATATTCACATTTTCAAAGAAATGAGCAAAACGACGTACCTCATCACAGCTGCACTTTAGATTACCACATCTTTCAAAAATTACTAAGGGCGCTTAGCGATCCAGCTCCCTTGCGTCTCGAGCAACACAGACTAAGCCGCATCTTCAACCGACAGGTCACGACTGCATATTCCGAGACTCAATCGTAGCATATCTTTGAAAGGCAGTACTCATGATGCAGTTCATCTGATCAGAACTGAAAGAAACTATGTAGCACATGAGTTTCAATAGTATTTCTGTGCTACGTTGGGAAGAGGAAGAAAATGGCCGATCAACGGTTGTCATCGAGAAAAATGATTAAAATTCATTCAGCGCGACATGAAATTTCGTCGCTATCATGTCTTAGTGTTATATATTCAGGAACAGTTGCAAGGAAGAACGTCCCCGTTCTCCTCGCACCTGTTCTCTCTGTCATCCCTAGTTTCTATTGCATTGTGGCCTATCTTCTCTACTCTTCAACTAAAGCAGTTTCGTCCTGCCTTCCATTCTTCTGATATCTTGACGTAACGCTCTAGAAGCTACCCACATTCAGCTGGAGAAGCACCGATTTAGCCGGCCATTCCGTCCGTCCTCTTTTCTAGTATTGGAATGGATCTACGAATTCTCCTCGCCGTGTTCTTCGTAAGCATAGTTAGTGCAAGAAACATTTCTGGTCTCTATCAAGGCCCTGTCGACTTTGATTGGGACCCCAAAGCCCCCCCTCTGTGGACTATCCGTCCTGAGGATCGACATATGTTTTTCAATAACAAGACAGCTTTTCTTGAGAAACGTTCTGGAGACCCCTGCTCGAGCAGAGATCACCATGCTCTGAAAATGTACCACCAGTACTTCGAAGCAGATTGTAAGGCAAAGTATCACATTCAATCAGACGGTACATGCGAAAGATGGTCGGATGTTGAGACAAAATGCGGCAGCTTTTGTCAAATTCGTTAGTATCAACCCAACGTGCCTTTGAGATTCTGAGAATAACAAGTGGCTGACTCTGGTGTGCGTAGGCACATACTTCGAATGGGCCGAGGAACGACCATTCCCCCATTCTGATTGTCACGCACCAGTCGAGTGTTCCATGAAAGAAAGTGAATCAACATCCGTTGGTTGGAGTGTCAGCGTCACCCCGAAAGTCGGCAAACTATTCAAGGCTGGAATATCTGGCGGGTGGTCAGAGAGTTGGAGCACTGCATACGGTCGCACCTGGACCGTCAAGTTGGATAAAGGCCAGTGTGGCTACTTTACGTTTGTTCCCGTGAGGAAGGTGGTCTGGTAAGATATTTGAACTTTTCAATATCTGACTGATCTCCGCTAAACAGTCTACTCAGTGGTACATTGTCAATGTGTGTCGAGAGATCGATGTCCTTCCCTGGGCCTCCTTATTTCAAAGCTTGGTGCGACAAGGGGAAAGACGAAACAGAACATCAAGGGAATGCTTGCATTGATGAGTTGTGGCTGATCAATGGCGAGTCCGGCAAACAGGTTCCGGATGGTGCCATCATATTTGTCTACACTGACTGTAGAACACGCGAGCCTCTGCCTATGAACAAACAGGATCCTATCTACTCTTCCCCTGGTGTTGCCCTCGATGGTAAATCCATTGACAGCATTCAACAAGCCTGGGTTTGGAACTCGTGCGAGATTATCGACATTGAAGGGTCAGGTAACAAAAAATTGATCATTAGAGGTTCGGGTTTTCCTGATGAGAAGATTGGAGAGAACGGGGAGGCCTTGACAAGGGATGTTGTGAAGAAGTGCGATGTCTATGTGATTATGGGAGCCTACATACCCAAAGACGTCAAATTCCATTTCTATGCAAGAGGCAGGCCAAACGATCCGCCCGGGGATCGAGGGGCTACATGGCAGTACACAGCGACCGTCCATCCGAATACCAGACCGGGTTGCATCGGAGAGTTCCTGATGGATATTGGAGCCACAAGGCAGGATAAATGTATTGGAGAAGCAGCGCCTCAGGAGAAGAGAGGGGTTGAACGGGATGTGAAGCAACACTCGTGGGTCGCGTAGCCGAGTCATTGATAGCCTATCCATCTATTGGAATCTTCATTTCACGGGCGATTTTGAGACCCAAGAAACCAAGCAGTATTTGATTCTTAGACAAGGGTCTGAAGCTGGTTCTGTTTGCCCATGGCAGTGTTAGTAAGAATGTAAGGGCTCTGGACCGGTTGGGCGTTTGAATTGTAGTTCTGTCTACCGTCTGAAGTTAGGCGGGCTTGTTTATCTGAGTTGGTATCGGCGGCTACCGGTGTATGGCTGAGGGACACCTTGATGACTAGCCCATTCATAACGTCCATCTAAGTTGGAAAATGACACAAAGTACCTCCAGCGACCTTTCGCAACTCGCAACCAGATGTCTAGACCTGCAATCACAATCTCCACCAAAGAACCTTTAACAACGTTTGGACTGGATGTAATCTGAATGTCAAGGTTCTAATTTGACGCTTGATACGAGTTATGTGAGAAGCACTGTCGAACCTCCGTCGCTAGTGATAATTTTTGAACCTGACATTTTAAGGTGGGTCAAACGAGGACTTTGAGACCAAGCCTCTGCTTCTGATGTCTGCAGGCACCCAACATGTGGCACAGAAACTGAATCACACTTGCCCTCACTCATGCGGTCTCTATAACAAATTTGCATGCGGAAGTGCTGGCTTAAAATTGAGCCGCAGGCCTAGCCACTATGCTGTGTTTGTTGTATTTAATGTCAAGTCTAAGTCTCCCGCGAAAATATTGAGTTTGGGGTCGAGTCCGCCTGCGAGGTAGGTTTCGTGAGTTATCTCCAAAAGCTAGTGAAGATCCACTGGACCCGTTGCCATCACGGTTGCTGATTTTCTCTCAAAGGGTTTCCCCTTCATGCCATTCGAGTATAAAATGCTAGCGGTGCGAGAATTGCATGCCGTCGTTTCTCCAGGCAAGACTCCCCTACCTCCCTTCTTGCTCGCTACATTGTGGCTCAACAATAGACATGGATACGGCAAGGCTTACCGCGGCAACTTTTGCCTCCCTACCTTCAGAGCTTCTCAGTATGATCGGCAATTTCCTCGACAACACGCACGACCTTTCGAATCTCGCTCGTATCAATCACACGTTCTACCGCGTCTTCAATCGTTTGCTGTATAAGGCCGCCGTCAAGGACCACCATCCAGGCCCGACAATCGAAGCAGCGAGCAACGGGAACCTCGGAACTCTAAAGCTCGCAGCTGAACACGGCGCCTATCTTGACTACCATCATGTCAAGCCGCTCACAGCAGATGAAATCGCGGCGAAGAGTATAAGATACCGATTGTCTCCACGCGCCCGCTGGGGGGCACCCCTCCACTTCGCCATTATCTACGGCCATCAGCATATCGTTGAATGGTTGATGTCCAAAGACGTCGAAATCGAGGCTCCGGCGCGACTTTACTGCGGGTGCGAGAACCCTCACAACATCCTCGATTACCACAGATGTTTCCGCGACCGCTACGATAACAGTGTCATGGTCTGGACACCGTTGCATTACGCTATTTGCCATAGGCAGACTGAGATCGCACATATCCTACTTTCGGCTGGCTCGTCGCCGCTTTGCACGGTTCCCCCGCGGCCAGAGTCATGGCCACCTGGGCTGGAAATTCTTGAGGAGCTGTACTCGGATCGTCCGACAAGAATCCGTCACAGATGTATGAATGGTTTTACCTATAGCAACACTTGTGCTCTTTATTGGGGAAGAAATGTTTGCATCACGGCGCTCGATACGGCAGTGGCGACCGGAGATAAGTCAATCGTCACGCGCCTCATAAAGGATATCGGAATGGATCCAAACCGTCTGAGGGGCGGCGCTCACAGCAGCGTTTTCCAATATTCGGCAACATGTGGTGATGAGTCAATGATTGACCATCTCGTCTCACTCGGGGCTGATCCGAGGCTGCTTCTGAAAGCAGATTGGGACTATGACAAGTTCCCTATCAACATCGCTTTTTGCATGCACCATGCATCCGCTGCTTCCAAGTTGGTAGAATGTGGCACGCCGATATGGTCTAGGGAGGACGTGTGGGATTATGACATCGACTCTTTCGAAAAGGTCGAGAAGCCGATTGCTCTCTTAACCGAGGTACTTGCAGGCTGGGATTATGAGTCTCCTCGTACGAATACGCGGTTCTGTGGACTTACAGAAAAGTGCTGCGACCACGACGAGCACGAAATCGCAGCAAAGAAAAAGGCATTTCTCAAGCTCGCGCAGCGCACAGTCGAGGAAGTCCCCCACGAAGTATCAACCGACGAACTGAAGGATATTCTGACGCGAGGACTCATCGCTATGTTTGATCACGCAGACTTCTGCGATGAAGACTTTTCTGAATACGCCAGGATCATCAAACCTGCTCTGGAAGAAGGTGCAATTGGTGAATTCCGGCAATCGACACTTTCTCTCTTGGTAAACCACAAAACAAGAGACTATGAGTTTGCTCAAATGCATGGCATCACGTTTCTGTTGGACGACCAATGGTTTGGTGAGCCTATCACACATATCGACAATAGACTGATGAAGAGAACCTTGGACAGGGCGGTGAGAAAAATTCCATGGCTAGACGACGACGGCTATGCCATTTTGACAAATACAGATTGCCTGATCAGAACAATGGAACTTTTGAGAGTGCACGGAGCTTGGAAGGACGCCCGAGAACAACCTGGAAGAATTTCCACGGAGGAAAAGAGCTCCTGGAGCCTTGCTGGCACCATAGTGAAGGGCGAGAAGTGCTCGGAGCTCTCTGGTCAATGGAACAAGCTCAGGTCCGACGAGTTGAAGATTATCCCCTCAAAGTTTCGGCACATCTTCACAAAGGTCAGATGGGAATCTTAGTAACGAAAGGTGATACAAGCATTGGAACGGTGGCTCTGAATATGGGAGAATGATCTTGGATTGATGGTACAGGACTTCCGGGAGGACGATGTGGATTTCACATAGCACAAAAACGCTCCTGATGGATGGGTATAAGAGCCTAAGGCGGATATCAGAAGAGATCAGGTAGATAGTGGTTTACGGCTGGCAATCTCTGGCAACCAGGCGTCCAGATCTGCAATCACGCCCTCAACTAAAGAACCTTCGACAACGGAATTGTTCCAGCATAGCGTGACCGTGATCTCTCCCCCAACGACACCTGCCATGTTGGCACTGAGCCCAGGACCCAAGACCGATGCTGACTGGGAGAACACCGCCCGCGTCATCTTCCAGCTCCCATTCCCTCCGTCGATGGCGCCCAGGTTGCTGAGCTCCCAGCTGTTGCTCCGTTCCTGACCGTCCTTCTGGCGAAAGAAGTCGTGAAAGTCGCTGACGTATTTCAGCATGGATCCTGGGTCGTCGTGTGGCAGACTCGCGAGCTTGTCGTTCATGGTAGACTTGACGGAGGCGGCGACTTCCCAAATGGCATCTTCGTATTCTTTGCCTGACGATGAGCGGAGCTTGGTGACGAGAGCAGACGGGATTGGATGGTCTCCTGATGTCACGAGCACGAGCATCTGGTTTTTTGCGTCAAAGGCTGAACCGGCGGGCAGGTACCGTCTCAGACTGATGGGGGAGCAGGGCTCAAACGTCGGTGCCTCGGACTCTGGGATCCGTCGGGATGCGGATGCGACGATGAGGGCGTGAAGTAGCGGCGTCAGCGTCACGGAATGGCTTCGTGCCACAGCGAGCAGCTTCGTCGCAAGCGCTGCAGGAATCCGTAGGATGTGGGTGCTGGTCTCGTTTGGCTGCGCAAGATCGATCGGGCGCGCTTTCCAAGGTCGAACAGCGGGTTTGCTCTTCAGCCAAGAAGGGCCAAAGGCGTCCCAAAGAGTGCCCAGGAAGAATGTCCAGCTGAGTCGCGAGTCGACGAGTTCATGTTGCGGTGACGGTAACACAGGCGGTTCTGGAAACGCGATCGTCTATCCTTCCAGGCCTGGAATGTCTTTCATGGGATTGCCCAGCGCTTCGAGGAGCCTTTGATGGAAGATGGAGCCGCTGGTGCCGTCGCTAATGGCATGGTGGAAAGCGTAGACGATCTCAACCTCGGATGGCTTCTCTTCGCCATTGGAAATTGGGATGACGGAGACTCTCCACGGAGGGCGCTGCTCGATATCTGGCCATAGCTGGGAATGCTGGTATGAAAGATGTTTGCTCAGGGCAGCGTCCACTTCGTCTGGCCGCGAAGACCCGAACAACTGGATATGTTCCGACAGATCGACATGCGGGATATGAACAAAGCTTGTGCTTTGTTTGTCTTGATCGATAATTCCGACCCGCAACATGGGCTGCTCCAGGACGACTTGTGCAACAGCCCGCTGGAGATTATCTCTCAGGGTGGCATTGTCAGTGCCAGGTGGGACCGCGTACCGGCCCGTGACGGAGACACAGTGATAGAGATTCAGAGAGTGGCGTGCCGTGGAGTATCTCTCCCTGCAGTAGCAGACGTCAGAGGCTGTCGCAATGCATTGGAGATGTCTGTGGCGCCTACATGTAGCCACATGGCCGGGCCACTGTGGGTTGAGGCTTCATGGCTGGCAACGTGGAGAGGTCTTTCAAGCTCTCAAGTTGCAGACAACGGGGGTTGGACCCTGAGTTGTATTGCTAAAAATGAACAGCAGGGAGGTTGAGTCGCGATTGGTCCAAGCTCACGCAGTGTCAATAAAAACAGGCGTGGACATCCCTCCGTTTTATCGCGCTGATGATCACAAAGCTCTTGTGCACGGGCATTGTTGATGCAAGGGGTCCCTGACTGAGAGAGGCATAGCTTCCTGTTGTGCCGTCTTCATATTGATCCTGATGCAGGGGGCAGTCGGCCTCCGGGTCTCTCATGACGCGCAATCTTCCAATGTTCGCTTGAGATATGAGCTGCAATGAGTTGTGGAGGCCTCTCCTTTCCAGCTGAAGACTAGGGCATAGCCATGGTTTGCAGACATGGTTCGGATCCTACGGAACAAAGAAGGAAAAGGCAGCCGTTGCAGAAGGTGAACAGGAAAACAACCAAACGGTCATGGCGTTTCTCAACGGTTTGCACCGTTTTGAAAATCGGCCATCAGGGTCCAGAACTCAGGAACCGCATGCACGAGCCCCACTTACACCGGCAGCTTCCGATTAGTCATTTCCGAAATGGTTCTTCCGCGCCGAGATTTGGGAGGGGCCGTGTGGGGTTTAGCTCAGGGAGGAAAGAGGTCCCACGGTGGCCCACGCCTACCCAGGGGAGCACCCCCCGGTCGCTGCTTAGTGGGAGACGCGGTTCATCACTTTCGCTCTCCGTCCCAAATAATTATCCTTCTCCTTTTGCGCGATCAATATTCCCCTGATGACTGCGAATCGCCGCGACGAACATGACCTCGACCGAATCATAGCATACCCGCGACTTGATTTTTCATCTTTCACGTCGCGTCAACTGTGTTTGACGCGACTTGTCGCCGAATCGCATCGCATCGCAAAACCATGCAGCTTCCCGCTGCTTGACGCCTTACACCACCGAAAACCAACGAACGTGGCCCCAAGATATATCCGCCATGGACCACGATAAAGCTGCACCGGGTCAGTTCGGGGCGCGACCGAACCGCCGTGCTTCAACCCAATTGACTATCGACCAAGAGGGCCGCAAGCCGCTGTTCTCTAAGCCGTCGCGCGAGACGCTGAACCCAAGAGACACTGCCCCGGCAGCGTCAGGAACAACAAACCGATATGGCTTCTCCCCCACGAACGCGCGCCCACCTTCTCGCGCAGCTGGCATTCCCCGACCTCCAAGCTCTGCCTCGATGCGACCACCTTCGCGAGCTGCTGCTGCCGCCATCCCCCGACCCTCAAGTTCGATGTCCCAGACGCCGTCAGTCGGTTCCAACCATTCGGCTGATGTTGCTTCGCCTGGATCCCGACTTCCCCGCCCCAAATCTACAATTGGAGTCTTCGCCAAGGGCAAGGTTCCTTCCGTAGCCGATGTTTGGGCGTTGGCGGGAGAAGAAGACCGACCCAGCCCCAGCCCTCTTGAGAGAACGCGCAGAACGTCTCCTGCCGTCGACGCTTCCCCGAGCCCTGCGCCGCGCCCTTTCCACAACAGACAGGTCGCTGAAGAGGCCAAAGTTCGACAGAATCTTAACAAGGAGCCCAACGACTTCGGCCGCACCCGACCCCTCTCCAGGTTGTCCAGCGACTCACTGCGCGACAGCTACGTAGCCCGCTATGGTGGATACAGCGGAAGTCCGGCGTCGCAGAGCGGCTCTAGCTCCGGTAGTTTCACCCGCCGACTGAGCCAGTACGAACGCGAGATGGCCGAGTCGCCCAGCGCTGCCCGCCAGCCAGAAAACCTCTTCGGCAACACAAGAGTCGGGCCTTACATCGCGGACACCGGCCGAACACTAGCAAGGAAGACGAGCAACAGCAGTCTGAACGGCGGTCCCGGGCTTGGGAGGCGCACGAGTAACAGCAGCTTGAACGGAGGCCAGACACTCGGGAAGCGAACGAGCAACTCGAGCTTGAATGGCACCAGCCCAAACCTGGGTAGGAAGACAAGCTACGGCAGTTTGGGTAGCAGCCCTGGTGCTAGGGCGTTTGCCAAGAGCTCAGTCCCGGAAGGTTGGATCAAGCATCTTCTCGATGAGGACGACAAGGGCATCAAGAGAACACCCAAACCGGACTGGGAAGTTGCTGCCAATACGCCACTGCCTTCCGTTGAAGCACTCGAACCGACGCCCCCAACTTCGCGACCGGGCTCCACGAACCCTGAGGCGCGATCGCCGGAGAAGAGCTTCGCTTGGCAGCTGGATGCCGACTTCACTGCCGGAGACCTTCAGATCTCGGACAGCCCGCGCATTAGAATTAGCGGCTCTGGATACGACGATGCCTCCAATCGACGATTCTCGAACGGCAGCGCATACGCAGAAGAGCCCGAATCAAGCCCTTTCCGGAGGGAAGCATCTGCGGGACCCCTCTCATCACGGGCAGCGCGGACCAACAGTAAGATTGACGAGATTCGCCAACGTGAAGAGAAGGCAAACGAGCAGTTGGCAGAGCTGCGCAGGAGCCAATCGAGGGGAAGGAACACCCGACTGGAGGAGATTCGTGAGAGAGAGGCCGAGGCTGAGGAGGAGCTGGCCAAGACGAAAGCCCAAACACGCTCATACTACCCTACACCCGACGAGGATGATCTCGCGCCGCCTGTCAGGGAACATCCCCGACCGAAAAACTCCAAACTCGATACCATCCGAGCTCGAGAGGCAGAGTCTGTGTCGAAGAAAGCTTTGGCTGAAAGCCGTTTGGAAGAGATTCGAGAGCGGAACTCAATGTCCAGAGAGTTCTCGCCAGAGGCCGAACGAGTCGACAAAGAGTCAACACCTATCCGAGAGAGCAAGAGAGAAGCCTGGCAGCCTACGAAACAGGACGAAGGCGAACACATTGCAAACACCCCTGTCACTATCTACAAAAATGCCGGCGTGCCCAGAGAGACAAAGTCGGAGGCGAAATTGGCGAGCCCGAAGTCGCCCGCCCGACCTCAATTGCAGCACACCCGAACAGACTCAAGAGATCTGCTGCAAAGGCTCGCCAGAGCTGCTAGTAGTAGCCCAGCCGGAAGCCCAGCGCCCGAGACAGTCAAGCCTCAAGTAGCAACCGACGAAAAGACCGAGAAAGATACCCAACCGAATACCATCAAGCACGACGAGGAGAGACCAACATCACGGACAGTAAACCCGGCTAGGACCATTGAGAGACTTCGAGAGGGTTTTGCGGAGGATATTGAGCGTAGCTCTGAGGACAGGCTTGCGGGGCGAGAGCCGAAGGAAGCCATCAAGAAAGTGGTCGCCGAGCCGTTGGCCAAGGAGAAGCAGACGACGGAGGTGATCGAGGAAAAGGAGACAAAGGATCAGCCATCCGCCGAGACAGCGCCGGTCGAGGAGGTACCGAAGAAGACAGAGGACCTGAAGAAGGCTGAGGAACCCGCCAGAAAGCCATACGTCCCTCGTCGCAGAAGCGAAGATCGTCCCAAGACATCGGATTCGGAAAAGGCAGAAGTCACGAGACGTAACCGTAACGACACTCTGAAGAAGCTGGACCCAACTCCCAAGTCGGATGAGGCCTCAAGCAGCTCAAAAGACGAGCCCAAAAACATCGAGGCTGAGCGGCCAGTGTCTGCTGGTCTGCGCCGTGTACGACGCCAACGCTCGACTGAATCTTCTAAGGACAGCAGGAAGAGCATGGCGTCCTCCGATGGCGATCCGACAGACCGTATCGAGCAGGAGATCATGCTGTTTGCGCCCACAGACGGCCAATCTGAACGTGGCTCTACCAGACCGCCATCGATCGAGCCTGATTCTGAGGAGGATAAGGACCTCCTCGCTGAGGAAACTCCTCGCCCGCTCAAGACGGATCCACTTTCTCTCCCTACCCCAAAGGTTACAGGCGCATACGTGGACACTCCCGCAACGGTTCGGGTCGACAAGGTGCAGGAGAAGGAGCTCAAGTCAGCCATCAAGTCTGAAGCCAGACCTTCTACGAGCCATGGCCGAGCATCAAGCAGACGGAACTCCCGCGTTTCTTTGAGAGGACGATCAATCTCCAATGCCAACGCATCCGAATCTGAATCGAGCGAGCAGAAGGAGCAAGACACCGCAGGCACGACCACGACCTCTGTGCTCCGCCGGCGTAAATCCACATCTAGACCTCGACGACCGTTGATGAACTCGGTGAAGCCACCCACCGTGAAGGACGACCTTTTGGAGCTTCAGCGCCGCCATCAAATCGAGGACTCGACTTTGGACGACTTGGAGGAAATGTTTAACTTGCAGAAGCCTCTGCCCCCCGATTTCGAGACCGAGGAGACGGTGGAGAGCATGCTTGACGAGATTAACGAGAAGCGTGAGGAAATTGCGAACAGCGCCAACCTCAGCAGTGACGAACGTGACCACACGATGCAGCAGATCGACAGAATGACCAAGACCCTCACAGATGGGCTTCGAAGCATTCGCTCTGCCAAGCAGGGTATCGAACGCCTGGAGGACAAGGTCTCTCACGCCGACCCTACGTACAACGAGAACAAGATCAGCGAGATGGAGAAGATGATCGCGATGGTGCAAGATCAGCAGGCAAAGGGGGCCGCATCCCAGCAATCCGCCGTCACTCAGAAGACTGCAGCCCACCCCAGCGTCTCTTCCGATGAGAAGGTCAACGTCATTCAGCTTCCCATCCCCCAACTCATGCACCGCAACCCTCTGCGCATCACCTTCCTCGGCTTGCTCGTCATCATCAGCGCAGTCTGGTACGCTGCTGAGTCGGCCATGTGTGAGCTCTACTGCCGCCCGACGACTTGCTCATCAACGCCTTGCGTCTGGTCGGCCACGGATCCTACCTGGGGCTACGCGATTCCTGTCAAGATCGACGAGTGGACCACGAACGGCTGGGGCCGCCAAGTCGCCAACCAGCTCGCTGAAGACGCCTCAGACCTCTTGGCCGACCTCGAGGACTACCTTACCGGCACGGACATCGCGACCATCGACATTCGAACTCTCGATTTCTGGGAAAAGCGCCAGCTTCGCCGCCGTCTGCGCAAGAAGGGTCTCGTTAAGCGGCCGGAGGAGTCGCCGGAGGACAAGGCGAGATGGGACGCATGGCACGAGGCGCGTGTGGCGAGGGAGAGGGTGCAGGACGCGAGGGAGATGGGGTACGATATCAGCGATGAGGAAGAGAGCATGGGCGGCGACGAGAGGGTGTGAGGATGTAATTACATGCGCCCTCTGGCTGTGGTTGTACTATACACTGTGTAAATAACACGAAATAGCTTGCTTTCGCGGGATAGCACGCTGGATAGGGCCTTGAGGAGGAGAGAACTCCTTCGGTAATTAAATCATTGCAATCATGCTGCTTTGTTGTTCTCGTGTTCCACTCTGATGGGTTGTTAGGCTCTTTGTTGGGTCGAGCTGGGTGCGTTCATGCGACCATGTTCAACCGGTCGAGCCACCCACCCACATTGCTGAAAAATCATACCGACGCTCTCATATAGCGACGATGAAACTCGGGTTAGCGATCTCCTGGCGGACTACGGCGTCTTCTCACTCCCGAAGCCATGGTTACGGGTCCTCTTGGCTTGCGACGATGCCGTCGATCGGCGGTGTGCGGAGCCCCGGTCCCAGTCGGCTCGGCATCCCACCCCCAAGATGCCCACCCGCCGGACTGATTAAATGCGCCGGCGGAGATTGACAACTGAAGTCTCCGTGCTCCATCGAATAGCCGTAGAAGAGTTGGGGGTTGGGTTTTGGGGTTCGTGGTGTTCGTGGAGTTCGTCTTGTCATTTGGAGTTCAGACAAACTAGGGTTCCAATCATCATGCCAACTCTGGTGCACAGGGCTCGATTCACGCTGTAATGTTTTGGCTTTGACTTGGTTTTTGATTGATGTTTGCTATGCTATGCAGCTCTGTTCAGACCTTAAAGCCAAGTTCCCTCTTGAACACCAACGATAGGACGGATCCAAAGTAGCCAACACATATCCGTCTTGCCAAATTGTCTCACCGACCTAACGTACGATGTGACATTTATTTGGGGCATCCAGTGGGGCACTTGGATGTCTTATTAGCCACAAAGTCGATCCAACTAATGTTGGTATGGACAGTTCTCGACTTACGCAAGAAGCCTGGCAGTTGCCGACGTAGCTGCAGCAGCTGGGTCCAGAGGGTCTGACGGGGCCCTTCTGGCGGGCGAGGATGTTGCCCTCGTTGACGTTGGAAGAGGGCACGGCGAGGGCCATGGAGGCGAAGGCGGCGACGAAGATGTACTTGATCTGCATTTTGACGATTTTTGGTGTCGAAAGACAAAGACTGTGAATGAAGACTGGTTATAGAAATTGTTTGATGGTGTGAGTTGTGTGATGCCAGAGTTGAAAGTCGACTGAAGGCGAACTTCTTCCTCTCTTTATACAGCTGTCCGGACTCTTCGGCATGCGCATTTCTTGTCAACAAGGAGAAGGATCATAGACACGATACAAAAGTCCGTTGCTACAAATAGCCCCATGAGTTGATTTCTGAGGGAACGATGGGTCCTGCGCGTCGGTATCCCACAGTGAGCATGGACGGACAATATGATAGAGTTCGGTTGCAACTCCACGTGAAGTCTCGGCTACCTTGCCATGAATCATACATCGCTTAGTTTCTACCCATTGGCAGGCAACTATTTAACCAGAGTTGTGTCTTGGGCGAAGAACTCTAAATCTCGTGTTTTCTAGTCCGGAGTGTAGCGCTGTACGAGTTTGCCTTTTAGGGATGTTGTCATTTCGGACACATCGATACCGCTCCTGAGTATAGACTTTCTGCGTGTAGTATGTGAATGTCCAAGAGTTCTAGGCGAGGATTTGTGTCGGGATTTAAGACGAACTGCATGCAGACTATCGTTTCTATGTTATCAACTCGCAGACAAGATGTCCAAAAGCCGCAAAACTCCGCTCAAAAGAAATTCACTGTAATTTGCCGACTTTTAAAATGGAAACTCATTTTTGATGTATAACCTATCTGCGCTGAAGTGTCAAACACTCCCGCTAACCTGAAGCGCCGCGGCGCTGGCTCCGGACGCGGGCCCACCATGCCGGTCCATGCCTCCACAAATCGGGACGGCTGCCCGGGAGATGTCTCGGGCAGAATTTTTCTCCATGTGGAACTTGGCGGCTCGAAGATTGTCTACTGGATCATTCATTCCAAGCACAGTCTCGGCAACCACCCTCGAATTCCAATCAAGACGTTGCTTGGGTGAAAATGGGCAGTTCTGCATTCCAGTCCAGACGCATGACGTGTTTTCCAAGACATGGCGGATGAACCGCCAACATTAGCAATGAACACTCAGAATAGAACCTACCTCACGACTTTTCTTTCCTTCCATTGCCAAACGTGATTCAGCCCTCTCCAACAGTCTGACGTACACCTTCTGGTCGCAAGCACGTCGAGGTTTCTTCGTTTGGAACGGCTCTCTCTTTTGACGTCTGAGTTGGCCAGCCGACACATCTTTTCAGCCGCCATCGCATCCAAGCACTCAATCAAAGGGATACGATGTCAGTTCAAAGTCTCCCTGACGAAATCTGGCTCCAGATCGCCGAGCACCTTGACTCGACCCCAAACATCGCCGCTCTATGCCGTGTCAACCGTAGGCTTTGCGGCATCCTGCAGAGAGACCTTTTCCGCGACGCCATCGACAGAGATCTTCCCGAGATCACGACTACCGCTGCGGCCAATGGCCAGCTTGAGGTGCTGAAGACAGCCGCGGCCTTCGGCGCCGACCTTGGCCGTGTGCGCCCCGTCGAGCCGTCTGTCGAATTACTGGCCAGCTTCGAACAGTTCGGAATTGACTCTTTTTACTCGACTACATGCTGGGGCACGCCACTTCATCTTGCTGCCAGACACGGTCACATGCACGTGGTGAAGTGGTTGATCGAGCACGGCGTCAACATCAATGCGCCGGCGCGATATCTCTGTCACTGCGTCTCGAATCAGCAAAGCACTCAATGGACAATGACAAAGAAAATCTTCAGCCAGCGTATTGCGTGGACGCCACTGCATCATGCGCTTTGTGGAGGGAATGGTGAGATTGCGCGGTATCTCATTTTGGCTGGTGCTTCGTATTCTATGGTGGTGCCAGCTACATCGCCATCCTGGCCGGACTTTGACTTTGATGTCGATGACGATGACGAATATGACGAGCCGGAGGAGACGTTCCCTGTCTATTGTGCACCTCAAGTGGTACGCGAACACAAACCAAAGCCTCCTGGCAGATGGACCACGGGAATTGCGCGTTTCTTCCGTCGATTTGTTGGAGGCTCAAACACCACCCAGTGTGCCAGCTGAGACGGCGTTTTATGCCAGAGAAAGATTGTGGAAGTCCGTTCTTGGAATTTTCTGTGCGAACCTTATAAAGTAGCCCCCCTTCCTTCTCGGTGCCTGTCCCAGAGTCTCATAGGGTGCTCAACTGGTCAATTGAGTAGAGGTGTGAGCGGCTGTCAGGGGTCACAGGTTGGGAGCCCGGGAGAAGATGTTTTTTTCTTATTTCTTTCGTTTCTGGTCACGCTCTTTAGAAGTTGCTGGTTGCGCTTAGGCGTTCTTAGTGTTTACTCTGAAATTCTCAAACAGCGATTTGGTCTGTTTGGTGACTTTTTACTCTTTTTCTTCTCGCAGACGTATGTAATTATCATTTTGAGGTCGTTGGACCCAAGTCCAAATGGGCACTCACCTCACCGGGCTTAGAATGGATCTCCTCAGACTCTAGCAATACTGATCAATTGCTTGAACTTAACATTGCAATCGGCGATTTTTACAGTACTAGGTCATAGTTCGAATTCAAGTTTGGGTGATTGAGCTCAGCTGGGACGTTTGAGAAGGATGCAACAACTTGGTATTCTCGGATGCAGTATCTGTTATCTGTTACGTGAGGCGTCAAGTTTGTGATGCACTTCGGCGGGCTCCACATTTCGAGGGGATCCCAGGCGCCAGGGGTGTTGTTGGTGTTGGCGTTGGCAACACGTGTTGGTAGCAAACGCGCTCGAGAAAAAAACTCCTTTCCTACTTGCCCTTGACCTACTAACCTGAGACGCATGGCGACAGAGGCGGTCAGTGGACTACGAGTTGCGACCCGGCTCATGAGTCTTTGTTGATATTATACAATTAGGCCTTTTGAGTATCACTTGGCAGCGATAGGCGTTCGCCTCAGACAAGAGCAGATGCCATTTCACTCTGTGTACTGGTTTCTTTGATCTCCAAATTGCTCGTCTTCATCTCCTTCTCTTTCTTCTTCAAATAATTCATCTATTACTCGACACGGAACATTAGTAGGGAGCTGTGAGAACCACTCGTTCTATGCATCTGATTCGACATCAAGCAGACCGTAAGCTCTTCATATGGAAGTACCTCTTGCGTGGGGCTGCCAGCTAATCAAATCTCCAGGACCGGAGAACGCCTTGGTCAAGGACCTGAGGATACAATGTCTGTAGCCAGCAAAGCCAGTCCGGAAATCTGGCTCGAGATTGGTTATTACGTTGACTCATTTCACGGGCTGGCCGCTCTCGCACGGGTCAATCGAATGCTGTACAGAATATTCCAAGTCGAACTATACTGTAAAGCCGTCGGAGAGTCATGTTCGGAAATCACAGTGCTTGCTGCTGCCAAGGGCAATCTGGATACTCTCAAAGTCGCTGCGGCATTCGGTGCGGACATGAACAGAGTCTACGCCACCCCATCCCCGATGTGGAACCGCGACGGAAGCCGAGAACCGATTAGAATCCCCATCGAGCAGTGTTGGGCAACCCCACTGCATCTTGCTGTTCAACATGGACACGAAGAAGTTGTCAGATGGCTTGTGCACGTGCAGAAAGTCAAGGTCAACTCTCCTGGTCGGTTCCTATGTCCATGCATGCCTGCAATCGTTTACCTTGGCAGTAATTTCAATGGGCCAAGAAATAGCATTGGAGCATGGTCGTCGTATCCTGTCTGGACGCCTCTACATCTTGCCATTTGTCAGAACCATGCGTCTATAGCGCGCGAGCTTCTTGAGAATGGCGGCTCCCACGACACACTCATCGCTCGTGAAAACCTACCCCCCTTCGAAAATGGGGCTTGGAAGGTGTTTTCAGTCCCTGATCAGCCTTACTGGCCACAAATGTACGCGAGGGATCACTGGAAATCAGTACGAAATGTCAAACTACCCCATATTGCCGCGCTGTCAGGGTCGGAGGCCATCATGACACTTGTCGTTAGAGACTTTGGCGGAGATGTTAATGCGGCGGATGCGTCTGCCGCAACACCACTTCACTACGCCATCATCGAAAAGGACGGAATGATGATTCGTCATCTTCTATCATTGGGTGCGGACCCAGATTGTCAACAGAATTATTTCCAGCATAGCGTGCCAACGGGCGGCATGCGTTGGGGCGCGCTTGATTTTGCTCTCCGATTTGAGCCAAGACTGGCAAGCATGCTCCTTGAACATGGGGCTTCGGTGTGGAATCCAAGTCCTAGGTCTGGACCCATTGAATCTTCTTTGAAGAACATCATCTGCTATCACGATGCCAACGCTGTTCCTCTGGATCTCCGCCTTCTTCTCCGACTCACACGAGAACAAGAACGTCGACGAAGTTTGAGCACCTGGGCTGCTTTCGAATTCCGTCTCGCCGAGGAAGAGATTCAGGCTACGTTTTTTCGAGCCTGCCAATCTCTCGCTTTCGGTATACAAGACCTTGAAGCCTTCGTTGATGATGGAGAGCTGGAGCTTGGAAGCACGCCAATGAGTAAGGCATTGCAGTTACAACTCAGTCTGCCGCCACATAAAATCAAGAGGGTCACCGCAGCCAGTAAAGATTGGGAACTGGTAAAATTCGACACATCAAAAAATTCGCTTGCATCACTGGCTTTGTGTTTGACGGTAAGGGTCATACGACCCCATCATAATGCATATACTACTGTCCGTTGGCTTCTCGAGAAGGGTGCGGCCCCAACTATAGAGTTGCAAGGAGGTGACGAGATTTCTATTCTCGCAGTTCTGCTGAAACAGGTTGATAAAAGCTGGGTTGCGCACCTCAATGAGCCACCTATCAACTGGGAACAAAACCCGCTTCGCGATATAGCACGTACCATCGTTCTTCTCCGAGACCGAGGCGCTTGGTCACTTGGGCGAAACGAACACACAGCCAAAAGTCTGAAAAGGGAGTTTCGACATGCCCTAGATCGTCTGTTTCCTCATGACATCCGAGCCAAAAGCTTTAGTGTCCACGATGCGCTGACAAGGGCGGTATCTCAGTTTGAGCAGGATTGTGGAATGTACATGGCGTAAATCTAGCATCTACTGCCCTTAGTGGAATCCAGTATTGATTATTTAGTTTGAACGATATTTTTGGTTATGGACTGAAACCAAGGGGAATTGAGGATTCATTAGTTTAAGAAGAACAGTGCAGTCGTAATTTACGAAGGTCAAATCAAGACCACGAACTTAGTTATGAGGCCAAATTTGATCCCGAGTAACATTCCAGTTAAATCAGGTAATCATTAATTGCAAGTAACAGTAGAATGCGAAACCAAAAGTGATGTTGAGGAAGACCGCCAACAGCGAGACCTAAGGTAGGTACTGGCAAGGAAGACCACTCGCTGCCAGGCGCTGCCGAGTGTCTGCCAGATGGCAGACCCCTGACAAGCTTCTATGTCCCTCGCGTTAAGATTATCTGTTTCTCATACCATCTTCGACGCTCATCACAAGATACCTACCTTTACAGCGTGAGTGACAGCCGGGGCGACCATCCAATCAAGCAACCAGATACTGATCAACAGCCCAGAACATGCCTGGAGCTATGGCTCTTCCGGCCGAGACGTGGCTACAAGTCGCGCAATTCAGCGAGCGACACGACTTGGCCGCGTTGGTGCGCACCAACCGTCGACTGCACAGCCTCATCAATCGGGAGCTCTACCACACCGCCATGGAGGAGAATCTGTACCCTCTCACCCTCGGCGCTGTGAAAGCCGGGAACCTGGATACTTTGAAGGTCGCAGCGGCGTACGGCGCGGACCTTGACGTAGCCTTCCCTCAACCCTTCTGCGACCAGGTGCTGGGCATTTGGGATAGAGCCCACCATATTGACCGGGGGCCGGACATGGATGAAGAAGACAAAGAGCACGACTGGGCTTGGGCTGCTCCGCTACACGTTGCAGTCATGCAAGGCCGACACGAAATCGTTGAGTGGCTCATAGAGCAAGGCGTTAACCTCGAGAATCCTGGGCGACATATCTGCGGATGCCTCCCTATTCTCCATCGGCCTGTCCCCCCACTTGGGAAAAACGACCCGCAGTTGTGCGAATTTCCTGCGTGGACACCGCTGCACTACGCGATATGTCATACACAGACGTCAATTGCACGCCTTCTGCTCGCCGCTGGTGCTTGCTCTACGGAATTGGTTGTCCCGCCCGAGTCCGCCAAGTCTCTTTCGTGGGCCACCCGCGCACTGAGTGACGTAGACGAGATGCGAACCGAATCACTTGAACTATCACTCGATGATTATCGTTTCTATATACAGGCCACCTCGGCACTTCATGTTGCCGCGTATGCCGGAAATCACACTTTGCTATCGGATCTAATCAACAATCATGGCATGGATGTTGATATCAAGGACCGGTCGGATTCAACGCCTCTTCACTACGCAATCGCTGCCTCAGACGCAGCCACGGCAAACTACCTTGTGTCTTTAGGAGCAAATCCGGATCATCGGGTCCAAGTCTGTGGCGATGCATTTGACTGGGCAAGTACCTTCCAGCAACCTTATTTGGCAATGCAAATTCTTGCCGTTAAAGGCTCGCCTTGGTTTGAGGATTCCGAGCGGATAAAACGGCCCAGGCTAAAGACGATAACATCTTCATTGAACTCCAACCTCGAATTGGAACACCAAAACTTCGCAAACGCGTCAGAAATCTTCCGGAAGACTATTCCAACAATCATTCGACGCACCCGGGAGACTCATGTCCCCGGCGCAGGATTTCCAGACCTCGACATGGAGCTCGCAATCGCCTTTTTGCACGCTTGCCCCGCAGCAAGTCTCTCGGATGCAGATCTGCACTTCCTCCTCGAGACCAGCAGTATCAGTCTTGACATGGAACTGATACCGGAAATGGTTGCTGAGGATTTACATCTGCTGCACAGTCTTAGTTACAAATTTCTGATCACCGTGTGCAGGGACCGTGTAAACGAAAGCCGCTGCACTCTCCGACAGTTAGCCTTATGCCTGGTTGCCATCGAATTTCCTCTGAAATCGATTCAACACCGGCATCTTTTCAGCCGCAGATTCGAATATCTCCTGAATACACCTGGAACAAGATCTGAATTGGTCTGGAACAACGCGAGTTTATCCCCGTTGACTTGCTTGTTCGACAGGATGGCAAAGACAGTGAGGCGGTTGGCTGATGGATCATACCTTGTTGTAACATCCTTTAAAGAGCTGGATATATGCCCTGCCATCAGGATTCTTGGACAGGCAGGTGAATGGTTCCCCTTGGCAAAACGAGCATAGAGAAGAAGCTTTTTGTCCTGGAAAGGTTTTACGTAGCAGTCTCAGACCTCGCAGAAGCAGGGAAGAGGTGGGAAAACTCCGTGATAGAAGTAATGGCAAGTGAGGTACGAGAAACGTGGGAGTCAGAAGAGATGATAGAATTAATTAGTAGGATAGAAGTGGATCGTTCAGACGCGGAGTAAATTGGAGGTTCTTCTATGCTTGCAAGCTTGCACAGCCGTATGTGGTAGCGCACAAGAGCGAACAATGATGCGGGAAGCTTGCATCTGATGCCTGCAGTATTATTGGCAACGCCTCGCCACGTGTTAAGTCATATCGAAAGCAATATGGATCCTGTCGGATGTCGCACAGCTTGCATCAAGGGCAAAAAACGTTGCAAAAGCCTAATCATTGGTTCAAGCCAGCGTGTCACAAGCTATCAAACGTGGCTCTGGTAAGTAGCCGTTTTTCGAACTAGGCACTTAGTGCCCTGCATTCATCTCATTTCGAGGTGACACTGAATCGGTCACGATCTTCGATGGATCGAAGTGCATGATTGGTTGAGATTTCTATGACATGGATATAACAGCGAATGAATTGCAACCCGAACCACCATCCTGTGCCCCTCCTCAAGTACCTATCCCCATATTTCAAAAGCGTACAATCTATGTAGCAGATATTTGTCGCTGCCATTAGCAGGTCAATAGCACATGTCCATTGCCTTCTACCATGGTTGTGTCACACGATTAAAGCTGTCAGCCCGGACAAGCCATTGTGATGATCGTGTGATCAGATACTCATGGCTGGCCGTGGCCGCCCTCCAAGGGCGAGGCCACCTCAAAGCCAGAGTCCCTAGGTGCCAGCGGAGGTCGCTGGTCAACGGGCTTCTGGGCCTTCTCCATGTCATCGTCCTGTCCGGGGTTCGCCGTCTGGTACTCGAGCCACTTGAACATGGCGTAGACCAGGAAGGACAGGATAGCACCGGCGAAGGGGCCGATCCAGTAGATCCAGTGGTAGTTGACAAAGCCGGCGATCACGGCAGGCCCGAAGGAGCGAGCAGGGTTTATCGATGTTCCGGTCCAGTTTGTGGCGGTGATGTGCGCGATGAACACCGAGATTCCGACGCCGATGGGGGCCAGGAAGGTCGCGCGGTGCTTCTCGACGGCGAGGAAGTACACCGTCAGGACCAGCTGGGCGGTGAGGAGCATCTCGATGAAGAAGCCCTGGGCGACGGTGGCGCCGTTGCCAAGCGTATTGTTGACCAGGAGGGGCCCGGGGAGAACGCCGTAGACGACGGCGGAGGCGGCGATGCTGGCTGCGAGCTGGGCGGGGATAATGCAGAGCCCTGCGAGGGGCTTCACAGCACCGACGAGCAGGAGACCTAGAGTGACCTGGATGGGTGTTAGTATGATGAGGGGGGAGAAGGTTGAGAGGAGTTGGGGAGACATACCGCAGGGTTGAACATGCCACCACTAACGCGGTAGAAGATCCACACGTTGACGGCAATAGCAGTACCGAAGGAAGAAGCGATGTACATCAAGCTGGCCGGAGAGAGAGGAGCGGAGGAGTCATCGGGAGAGTTGGTGACAAGGGCGGTCTGCGCTCCGATGAAGGAGAGCAGGAGGAACATGAATGTTCCACAGAACTCGCCGAGGACGACCACGATGAGGTTGCGGGAGGGCAGATTGTATGGGTAGCCTCTCTTGGCTGGGGTCACCTGGGTGGCATGTACCGCGTCAACGGCCTGCTTCACCGGGTTGTGGGAGGTCGGAGCAGTCATGGTTGAGATGGCTGAGGGATATCTTGATGAAGATAGAGACTCAAAGAGTGCGATAGTGATGTTGGTGTCGAGATTGCGATGATGATTCGAATGGGATAACAGCCTTTCCAGCGAGTAGTCCTTCCCATATAAATATCCGTCGTGATGGCTGGGTCTGGTTTTCAGGAGGCGATGGATATCACTTGTCACGATGGACTACAGCAACATCTGAGGAGGCGACTGCTCTCGCCATCGCCATCCGACGAGGGTATCGGAAGACAGGCATCCAGCTTCGTCGTTAGGCGCCCGTCGACGGCAATCTCAAAACGGGGCAAGAGCTTCCCCCTAGAGTCTCGCCATCGACGAAAGAAACGACTGACAGGCATCTTGGTCCAATCTTGGGCATCAAAGTACATGTCGTGATAACCCGGTGCGGCGATCGTATCGAGAGGTGAGAGTATCTCGTGGTAGGTGGTTGGCTGGCTCGTGACTTGGCGGGAGGACTGTCACATCCGACAAAGGGTGAGGCCCTTTGACATCAGGTTGACAACGGCATTGTCTGACAGGCATCAAGCATCATGTGTCGGCATGCCGTGTTAGGTAGTGCTTGAGCCTGTACGTCTTTCGTCCGTAGTGGTGATCTTGTCCTACAGTGTTACCCATCGGCTGGTGGACAGCCACGATGTCAGGCATCAAACTGCGTGTCTCGCTCTCAATTATTGCCTCTACCGTTTCGAATGCATGATTAATCCGGAATGTGGGTAGGAAAAGGGCCCCCAAATGTTGGGCTCGAATCCTGTATGTCTTGGTATTTCCTTGCCTGTGTAGATCGTTACAGCCGTTCCAGTCCCTCTCAACGGACGAGGTGCTCCGATCACAGGCTTCAATCACCTTTTTTCCCGATGCCATGCTTCACAGTGAACTACTGCACTCGATGATGCCCGTTTGCTTGAATACCGGCATGCCCAGTACTGCATGTCTTGCCATCGTATGTTTTGCGTTGAGCTTCTCACAGAATTGAAGCCCGTGAGTGGTAGGCGCCTCCGATGACACGCTTGCGTCTGCATGTCCTGCTACTGCACGGAGGGCTGCTCCTATTCGTCAGACGCACACGTGCAGCGGGATCGCCCTCTGGGATGGTGTCGAAGACACAAAAGTTATGCCAGTTCAACCCATAATTGCTGCCAGTGACTTCATCGGAAGAACCGAAAGCCCAACATTGGATGAGGTTGGTTTCAAGATTTTCCCAGATGGATGTGTCTTTCACCTACCACCAGCATGGGCTAGAGCCGAGGTGGTGGTCGTGAGAGAAAGGGTAAGCAGCATGTCTATCCCTTGAAGAACTGGGTATCTCCTGGCAATTCAGTCAAGGGAGTCATCAGTCTGATGGACCATTATTCGCTTTTGCCATGACCTACTTCGCTGTGCATACGCGATCGGGATGCCTTTGCACCTTGCGGACGTCAATGTGGGGTTGATGAACATTGAGCCCCTCGGTTCTTCCTTATGTAGCATGAACAGCTGGTTGAAACCTCGAAAGCTAGTGGCCGTTTGTACCTTTGACGTTAAAGCTTAATGTCAGCCTAACGATGAGATGACCCTTTACGTCGGTAGACGGCACATCCTCCAGCAAAAGCATTGTAAGTGTCTCTCCATCTCACCCTCCCCACCACCAAATAAGCCTAAAACCAACACCGATGGCTCGGCTCCGAAGAGACACCCCGGACGTCTTGGGTCTTGACCTGAACGGTACTCATCTTGTAAACGTGGAAGCGCCACAAGTGGCTGTAACCGGAGAGTATCGTCAAGGGGTCAACCATACCAGCATCCTTCGTTCGCTGCCTAACCATCAAATCCCGTAGTGAGGGAGTTTCGAGTATGGTCACTGGCCATGAGGATTGGGGGCCGCGCAAGGCAACCAATGGTGGATGGGGAGGAGATCGTCGCGCAGTCTAAGACAACGCCCCAAACCTGACCGATCCAGACCGATCGACACGCGGCCCGGTCCTAAGCGCTAACGCAGCTCAAATCCTACTTAATCTACGGTAATAGAACGCCTGTTGTTAGCTGGGGGGGAGGGAAAGGAGAGGCGAGCGAATAGCGGGGTAAGGTGTCGCGTGAAATCATCGTGGCAAGGGGAGCCGACGCAAACGCTGCTCGGGTAGTGTCGTAAGAACTTGATAAATGGGGGCGGGGGAGTGTCACTTCAGGGATCTCATTGGGGGCCATCAGCCCTGCATGTCTTGGATTTTGATTTGGGAGGATGAGTTGGTGGGGGGAACACAGACTCGTTCTCCGCAAATCCTCCGTCTTTAGAGAAAGTCTCCGGGGGCGAGGTCAGTGGAAGTGGATTATCTGCTCGAAGAAGAACATGAAATGTGGCTCTTGTAGGCGTCCGATGATGCGTCGCTACTTGCGATTGGATGAGAGCCGCTGGAATCGCGATCCATCTCTGAAGCCTCACCAGACTTCTCGTGGGTCTCTGATGTCCTCTCCTCTCTCACTTCTTTGTGCGTCCACGAAAAAAATCATTCCTGCAATGCTCAGCTGGAAGTGATGCCAAGGCTCCAAGGCATGCATAGTCTCTCGCGTAGGTCTGTTGAGACAGATGCCAGTAGGAATCGGAATCTGAACATAGTCATCGATGGTACTAGGCGCTAGCTGCGCGGCGTGAGACGTGAAAAGTTTGCCGCCAGGTTTGCACTGTCAATGTCCTTTAAGTACGCACAACCTAGCCTAGATTGCACTATGAAGCAACAAAATACGGTTCGCGTTGGCCATACGCTTGGGAGTCTCGCTCACAACTCCTTGGGTATTCCAACACTCAAAGGTCGCTGACATCGGATTTCTGAGCACGCTAGTCATTTTCCAATGAACGCTATGATCCCCGCGGAGAGCGAGACACCGCGAAGTTGTATGTGAATACCCAGAGGGAACCAGCTATAAGAGCGGCAATATTTTGCGTCATTCCAGTATGATGCTGCTTGCATCAACAGCCAGATGTAACTGCTCTGGTATGTTCGTTTGGCTACTTCAGAGCACAGAAACTTCAATAATGAAATAAAGATTCGTATACCCTATCTACCCCTCACGTGAGTTTGGATGTGCATGCAATTCCTGCTTCCTTTTTATGACAGTCGTCCGCCGCAGTTGGTCCCCTTACGCACGTTGCCTTTTTTCTTGTCTCAACGGCTGTCGTTGAAACCTACCGCTCAGTGCCTTCTGTCTCCTCCTTGTTCAAGTCGCACGTCCAGTCCCAGACTTTGTCTGCGAATTCTTCAAAATCTCTGCCACGATAATGTTTGGATAGACCGTGGGGTGATCTTCCGCTCATCATGATCGCAAACACGTTTCGAAGAAGCTTTTTGGCGGTCTTGGAGAAGGCATTCGATGGCTTCCAGTCCTCTGGGGCCACTCGTGAGAGGAGTTTAAGCGCCTCCCGTATTTCGATTTCGACTGGAAGGCATCTGGTGCTGTCTGATGCATGTTCTTGCAAAGTCTTGTCGATCAAATTCACCATGACTTTCATCACCTTCTCAGGGTTCCCTAAACTTTCGATGAAGCGTAGAAGTTCGGACTGGCTCAGAATCGCTTTTCTTTCCTGTTCTTCATCAAACCAGGCCTTTGCGCCTAAGTCAAGGAGTTTGAGAAATGCCTTCGCCTTTCTTTGGACCGTCGCCCAATAGAGCGGAGTGTCTCTGTCTTCGTACCACCCCTCATTGATCCCGTCCGGATTAGCACCCAGGGAAACAAGGTGTTCAATCATCGTCTCATCTTGAGAGAGAATGGCATAATGTATGGGCTGGAAGTTGATCCAGTCTTGCACATTGTAGTCGCGCTCGTTGATGTCCATCCCTCGAGCTTGAACAAGATGGGTTACTAATGACTTTGTGCCATGCAAAGCGGCGACATGAAGAGCTGTCATGTCCTCTGTGAATCCAGCGAAATAGGGTCTGTCGACATCTCTCGGGGAGATCACGTGCCTCGCTATCATGTAGGATGGAGGGAGCATCACAGAGGTCATAGCGTTCCGTGAGAGTAGAAGGCGTGCAATCGAATCGTGTTTCCGACAAATGGCGAAGTGAAGAGCCGTCCAGACCGGGAAGTCGGCAAGTAGGCGGCCCCCTGGAGATTCATCGTAGTGAGCGAACCCTCTGCAATTGCAGACCAAACGTCCAGGTGCGTCGACGTCGACTCCTTGAACCATGATTAACCACTCAACAGCGTCGTAATGATTGTAGTAGACAGCCAGGTGGAGAGGAGATGCCCAGAATCGGCTCAACTCGTCATCCTCTACCAAAACCCAACCTGAAGAGTCCATAGCTGAGACAAGCTCGGTCATGTCTTGAGGACACGAAACGGGGTGTATGAGACCAAAATCAGCTCCATAAGTAGCCGCCTTTTTCATCATTCTGAGATTCCCGGACTCTGCAGCTCCTGACATCATCTTGGTGAAAGTGTCGGGATCTTTGATGGCAGACTGCCACAGAATATCTTGTGCGTTCTCGTAAAGCCGTTTGTTTGTGCGAAACAGGCCGCCGCCCTCAACACCGCAGTACCCTGCAATAGCCTGTAACAGCTCGTTCGGAAGGCACAGTAGAGACATTGCTGCTACCTCCAGGTGGTACGGTTGTGAGTCGAGACGCGTGTAGTCTGTGAATGGGGAAGGCGCAGAGAATTGGAGGCGTCGGTAGCGAGACAGAACGATGATGAGATCGACAGATCGCGGAAAATGACCGCCAAGATTTCTTCTGCGGGCAGCTTGGGCGTTAGGTGGGCTTCCAAGAATGGTGTGAGAGTGGCTTATTGACAAGTTGGAAGGGACTCACGAGTCTGAAGGTGAAGGCGGAAGAGGGCGTAGAGATCATGCAAGGTCCCCGTCTTTGCCTCCTCGGGAGAGTGGTTGAGTGTGTTGAGAGAAAAGAACGGCAAACAAACAAGGAGCCGGCGATGGGTAAGGGAGCTCGGCCGGCGACAAACGGAAAGTTGGAGTGCCTACCCGATAGATATTTAGAAACAAACACTGCAGTCACCAATTCTTAAACAAATCCTTTTGGCATAGCTCGCTTTACCTCGTTCTACGCCCAAGGCTGAAAATTCAGGCATCCACCCACCACTCAAACGGGATATTCTGCAACTACCTTATCAAGTACGAATTTCACCTTTCATCGTTTTTGCGCTCCTCCTTTGTTCTTGTCGTTGTCCCTGTCGTCGTCCTTGTCGTCGTCCTTGTCCGGCGTCCTTGTCCACATCTATGCTCTCGTACGTTGTACTCAGCATCCTCTACTCCATCAGACTCGTTAGCCTTTCGTCACTCACCCCCATATCGTCTTGGAAGCCCATCTAACGCACAAGATACGCGCAGAAAAGAAATTCGGGGCGCCTCGCGGATCGACGCTGTCCCCCACGTCTCTCTCCCGACGAAACCAATCCGAGCAACGCCAGAGAAGCGTCACCCCACCGCCAACTCCCATAAGCTATCTCGACGCGTTACGATGAGACCGCCGAAGCCGACGTCCCCATTTGGCATGATCCCACCAGAGATCGTGCTAGCGATTGCGGAGGATCTACCCCAGTCCTCGGTGAACAGTCTTTGTCGGGCCAGCAAACGACTCCACCAGATCGTCAATCCATCATTGTACAAAGCCGCCATCAAAACACCTCACTTCCTCTCGGTGGCCGCGCGAGATGGAAAGCTTGATACCCTCAAGGTTACAGCTTCCTTCGGCGCCGACCTCAATCGTGTCTACTGGGTTCCTGCACTTTCCTGGTCTTTACTCTGCTGGGATGACGATGATTCTGACTGTTCGGGAAGTAAGGACCCCGATTGTTCGGATAGCGACGACTCCAACCACGGGATTAGCGACGACTCCAACCACGGGATTAGCGACGACTCCGACCACGGGGGTGGCGAGGACTCTATCTTCTATCGTTCCGGATTCACATCCATCCAAGAAGCTTGGGAATGTTCTTTACTTCCCAACAATCGCGACATCGGATATTGCTGGGCTACTCCTCTTCACTTGGCCGCTGCAGAGGGACATTACGACATGGTCGAGCGGCTGCTTTCACAAGGCATTGATCTCGATTTGCCGGAAAAGCTGCTATGCCCCTGCTCTTCTTTCAGCGAAATAATAATAGAAGGATCTGGGAGGTCAGTCCTCCGTTTGGGAACCTGGACCCCATTGCACTACGCCATCTGCCGCAGCCACCCGAGGATTGCTCTCCTCCTTATTGACAGTGGCGCCTCAATGGAAGTTCGATACCCGTCCAGCAAAGACATCCCACGTACACACGGCATTGACAAATTGTTCGGTTTGGGCCCTTCCCAATCAGATTCTGAAATTCGACAAAGTCTCGGTTATCTTCTGACATACCACCTGGGGGTCGATCCAGACTTGGACAGGGGAAAGAATTGCCGCGAAGTGAATGAACTCCTCAGCGTGCAATATCAGCGACGATGCCTACAATACAACATGTCGGCGATCCACTGTGCTGCCTTGTCTAATGAGCCCGAGGTTCTCTGCCACTTGGTAGCTCGTGGGATCAGCGTCGACACAGCAGATGGATGTGGGGCGAATATCTTGCACCATGCTGTGGAAAGTAGGAGCTTCGAAATGATCCGATATGCTCTTTCACTCCAGGCAAGTCCTTCTGCATCAGTTTACATCGTCGATCGCACGCATACCAGGTACCATGTGGAGGGCATTTGCCCCTGGGTGGCTCGATTTTGCCAAAATAGTAGTCCCAATTATCTTGATGCCGTTATCGTCATGCTAGCCGAATATGGAGGTGACTCTGTGTTCTGGCAACACCCTAATCCATGGCATGAGGCGGTCCTTGATCTCGACCACGGGAACAGCCACACGGAAGGTGAAGAGGTCGAACACAAATCCATTCGCCCCAAGTCTATGACCGTCAACGTCATATCTTACTACATGATCAACCCGCCCAAAGACCTTGCGACACGCGGCTGGGTCTCCCAGCTGTTGCAAGAAGCGATCGCTACCTATCAGCCCACCGAGGGGTTCAACGATCTCAAGAAGGAGGTAATGGCGTTTTTCTGGCGTGTCATTGATGCCAGCGAATGTGGAGCAGGTTCTCTCGAAATGATCTTGCAATCTTACGACTCCCTCGACCTTACTGAGCTAATCGATGGCGAATTACCCCTGAGGAACGCCAAAACGATGCAGTATGATGGCCAACTAGGCACAGCAGCACTTCACATGGTATTGAGAGACTACAGCATCAATCCGAACGTTTCTACACGTGAGATCACGGCGAGGGACAAAGTGGTCTGGCTCCTCAAGCATGGGGCAGACCCTATCGACAAATTTCATCGCCCGGCTAAGCTCGCTGCCATGCCATGCTTCCTAAATAGTCTCAGCGCCTGTGAGCCGCGAGATTTCTCAATTGGTTATTTCCAGCGCCGAAATCTGAAAGCCGTTGACCTCAAGGTTGTCTCGCGGGTCGCCGACATGATGCGAATTCTTGGAGAGCATGGGGCTTGGGAAATGAGCGAAAGCGAGACACAGGATGCTGTTGAAACGTATGATCGCATCGTGCGGGAGGTTGAGCGCCGGAACAAAGACACTGCAAAGGTGATGAGAGAGGTGTTTTTGCCCAGTAGGGTGTCCACACTTTGGAAAGTCATGATTGACTTGCACTTGGCGAAACAACAGGCGATAATTCGTGAGATGTGGAAATAAAAGTGATGGAGAGGCAGGAATGGTACCTAGGGCGGTCTGGCTGTACAAAGGATTACCATGGCTGATCAGATTGACTGGTGAGATGTACTGAAAAAACTGGCAAAAGAAATGAGAATGCTGGCATTGGTGTTTCTATCGTCTTTACCTTTCCCCATCGTTCTTACCCTTTTCCACCGTTCTTACCTTTCACCATCGTCCTTACCCTCGTCCACTGTCCTTGGCCATCTTCGTCCCTGGACATCGTCGTCCTTGGACCTTTTTCTCCCTTCGTCGTGTCGTCGGACATGCCTAGCTAAGACAACTGCTTCTCAACCTTTCCGCGACTTCGCTTGATTGTAGCTGCCTCAGCTCTACCACCCGTTTCCCTTCGCCACTTTTCCATTGCACGCAGTGAGTAAGTTTCTTCGCGACACTGACGATTTGGCCAATCTTTGAGGCACACGCTCACCTTCCGTCAGCTATACCAATCGCACACACTTATGATGACGACAAATTTGACGACAATGCCACCGGAGATCCTCCTGGCTATCGCGGACTTGCTGCCACAAGCTGCCTTGCGTGCCCTCTCTCTGGCCAACAAGCGGCTCTACGACGTCATTAATCCAGTCCTTTACGCGCAATCTGTCAAGAACGAAGCACCCGACACCACCGTTCTCGCCGCTCGCGATGGAAACCTTGACACCCTGAAGATGGCCGCTTCCTTCGGCGCCGACATGAACCGAGTCTACTGGGTACCCGTTCCGACCTGGGCGAAGCCAGAAAAAATCCAATCAACAGCTCCCAAGACGGGGTATGGAGTCTGTTGGGCAACTCCACTCCATGTGGCAGCCGCGTATGGACACTACGACGTCTTGAAGTGGCTTCTTGCCAAGGGCGTCGATGTCGATGTTCCGGGAAAGCTCCTCTGCGGATGTCTGAGTCTTTGTGAGATGCGAGATCATTTCGGCACTTCGTCAGATGCCTGGCAAAGACACATAAATCTGGACTGCGTACCGGATGTTGCCGGTACCTGGACACCGCTTCATCTGGCCATCTGCCGTGGCAACCAGTCGATCGCCCGTCTTCTCATCTCCCGCGGTGCTTCCCTGGACATTCGCTACAATCGAAGGATGAATATTCCGCGGACTCATGGTGTGTCGACCCTATTTTACTCGGAATCCTGTGATTCTCACACCCGCATGACACACTTTGGCTCGACTGGCATCGAGGAAAGCTCGAACGATGATCTCGACCATCGCTTCAACACACAGGTCCTAGAACAAGCCGAAGACTATAATCGCATGCACGCTGTTCACACCGCGGCTTCGTCGGGGCAGAAGGAGATTCTGCACTATCTCGTTGCTAAGGGAGTCGACATCAACAACCTTGATGGGTCCAACGGAAACGTCTTGCACTATGCACTCAGTGAGTCCGATACCGACATGTGCAAGCTTGTCCTCGATCTTGGAGTCGATACTGCCACGCCGATTGATTTTTCGGAATACAATATAGATGGAAGTTGCATCATGAGTGTGGTGGAGTGGGCGGTCACATACTGCCCAGGCAAAACGGAGGTCATCAGCCGTGCTCTTTCCTACATCGCCGAACGAGGAGATTCATTTTGGAAGGTTGACGAGGGTTTCGGCAAAGCCATGGTCATCAAGTCCATTTTTGACTCTGACTGCTATGACAACAGGCTTATGAAGCCAGAGTACAACAGATGGATTTCCGAGTTCTTACAAGGTGCCATCCTCACATGCGACTCGAGCAACGTCGGCAACCTGGAGGAAGACCTCGTACTCTGTTTTGCGATGAACGCAACAAGTATTGACGGCGGAACCGACGTTCTTGACATTTTTTTTGATGGATTTAGTTCATTGAGGCCAGCGTTTTACTCTGATTCACAGAAGTTTGATTTGAAGAAAGTCATTCTTCCCAATACCCCTCTTTCGGACTACTTTGGGTCAGATGGGGCCGAACTCGGAACAGAAGTGATCAAAGTTTTGCGCAGGTCGATCGCCTGGAATGGTTCAAGTGATAAATCTGCGTGGCAACGAAAGGCAGACAGGACGATGAGGGCTAAGATTGACTGGCTGCTAGGCCACGGCGCCACTGTGCCAAAGCTATAGATGAACAATAGAGCAGCAAATCAAAACCAACATGACTACATACAATGGGCTTTGAGTACTCAGCGCAGTTGAGTACTAAGAAAGAGACCGCCTAATTCCTGTGTCTAGAAGACTAGATTTCCTATGTACCAGGTAACTTTGACCAGGACGACGACGACAGACGTCAACGATGTACGGCGGCAATAATACCAACAATAGTAGTAATGATAGCAGTAACGATGAAAGCGACTTGACCGTGAACGACGATAGCGGGGACAGGAAAAGTAGTCGCCCTAGCACGGGAAAGATAGGGGCCTGCGAGCAAACACTCGCCTCGCGCTTTTTGGCGGCAGTCGGTGCAGTGACCCCGAACAATGTAACAAGGTCTTTGCTGGAATATGCTATCGTTTCTCGTCTCCAAAGTCACCATCCCTTTTATTTTCCAAATTCAGAAGTAAGTGTCGGTTGCTCCTTCCATTTCGTTCCAAGACAAGCAGACTGGAGCCTGGGGAGGTGAGTGTCGACGCGGGATGAATTTTCAGCAGCGCCTGCTCCAGCTTTCTCGCAACGCTCGGAATCTCAATTCCTTTCACTTCCACTTCCACACTCGCTTTCAGAAACACCCTAAAGCTGGCAACAGCCTCGCAACTCCTCACAGAAAAACACCTTCACCCTCTGGCAAAACTCATCTCACCGATGTCAATAAATAACAAGGTACGCTATTCTGAAAAAGATTTCGATCCATTCCTGGATATTGGCGGCATTTTTGGCCGTCATTGCAAGTGTCGCTGCTGTTATCTGCCATCGTCTTTTGTCTGCCATCGTCTTTTGTCTGCCGTCGTCTTCGGTCGTCGTTCCTCGTCGTTAATGCTCTTGCTGTCGTCCTGTTTGCCGTCGCTGCTTCCCGTTGTCATACTTAGTTTCTGTCAGTCCCCTTTTCAAAACAAGCCTGACTAACTTTGAGCAGGTCCGAATTGTTTCGTTTCTTCGAAATTGAGCTCACGATGTCACTTGCAAGGCTCCAAAACCTACCTATCGAGGTGCTCTTGCTACTTGTTGAGCATGCCACCAGCGACGACGACAGCGACAGAGACGACAGCGACAGAGACGACAGCGACAGAGACGACAGCGACAGAGACGACAGCGACAGAGACGACAGCGACAGAGACGACAGCGCCAGAGACGACAGCGACAGAGACGACAGCGACAGAAACGACAGCGACAGCGACGACAGCGACAGCGACGACAGCACCGATGGCGAGAGCGATGGCCACCACTACAGCGACAATGAGAAAGCCAGAAATCGCCAACATCTCTTCGGAAGCCTGTGCCGAGTCAACCGTCGCTTTCACAGCATTTTTGAGCCTCTCCTGTACCGAGCCGCGATTAATACCGAGAACAACGTCATCACCACTCTGGCCGCCCGAGATGGCAGGCTGGACACCTTGAAGAAAGCCGTCGAGTATGGAGCCGACCTGAACAGTGTTACCTGGGTTCCAATTCCCAATTGGGCCCCCCCTGGTGATCTTGACAGCGACTTGCGAGGTACGGAAGAATGCCCAAGGGACACAAGCTGGGGCATTTGCTGGGCAACACCCCTGCACATGGCTGTTTGCGAAGGCCGCTACGACGTTGTCAAATACCTCTTTTCTATCGGAGTCGATGTTGACGTTCCGGGCAAGCTTCTCTGCGGCTGCCTGTCCATGGGCGAAATTGTGGCCGGCTTGGATCCAGATTGGTCCCCAGAACTATGGGATGGAGTGGTCATTGCATCAGGAGTTTGGACCCCGCTTCACTATGCCATCTGCCGCAGAAAATCTGACGTTGCTCGCTTTCTCATCTCTCAAGGAGCATCGTTGGACACCACGCGCTACCCTGACCGCGACGAGATTCCAAGGGACAACGGGATCGCTTCGCTCTTTGGTCTTGATCTATCCAAGCCCAAGAAATCAGCATCGATCCGCAACCGTCTCGATACACTCATCTGCAGCGTCGGAACATCAGGACCAATGTTCGACGATCATGAAGAAGTGATCGGTGGTGATGGCTACGGCGGGAGGGAACCCCTCGCAGACAGCGTCGCAGCTATTCACACGGCCGCAGTCATCAACGACCTATCAATGATTCATCACCTCGTTGTCGACTGTGGCTTCGACATCAATGCGAAGGATGGTGGCGGTGCTACCGCTCTCCACTACAGTCTCACAGCGAATGATATCAAGACTGTGCGCTGCGTGTTATCTCTTGGTGCAGACCCCAACATTGACCTTGATATCGACTGCCATCCTGCGGTCAACGGTGCCGCAGCTTGGCTTGTGTCCTACTATAGCTTCTTAGTGTTGATGACACAGCAAGATTTACCACCTTCTTGGGTTTTTGAGCGCGCCGGCAACCGGGGTACTAGAGCCAAATTCATCTCTCAAGCCCTCGGAGCGCTTCTTGACCACGGCGTCTCCTGCTGGGTGGGAGACAACGCAGGCAATCCCAAGTGCCTAGCGCTATACCAAGCTCAAGCTGACAGTTATTGGGTCCTTCGCAGCCGAAAACATGTCTATGACAGCTGCTTCAAGAGATTCCTAGAGGGTGCAATGATGGAGTACGACCCCGCGGTATGCTGTGATCTGAAATCATCGGTTATGAAACTCTTCTTTTATATCTTGATTTGGGAAGACTTTGACAACACCATCGAACTGTTCAGCACAATCGTCAATGTGGCAGGTCCGATCGACTTCTCAGCCACCATAGATGATGGCATACCAGACGATTATCGCCTCATTGGAGATGAGCACATGTCCCTTGTGGCATTTTGCTTCCTGGCGCTTGAACGGGACCACGGGAGCCCCAAACACATGAGGCGCAGAAGGTTGGCGTCAACTCTCGCAAAGTGTGAGTGGCTGAGGACGCAAAGCGCTATCACAACACCGGAGATGCTGGAATACCTCGATGCCTTGACCGGGGAGACGTGTCGCCGGACGATGCGTAAGAAAAGAGTTTTGTAGAGAGCACTCAGGCGTCAGGTGAGCGCATGGTGCAGTCGTCGGCGAAGATATGATACGCGCTTGGAAGCGAGCGACCTGAGCGGGATATACGGACGTTAACAATGCTCTATCGTCCTTCTCCTCTCTCTCGTCTCGGTCGTCTCTGTCGTCTCTCGTCTCGGTCGTCTTTGTCATCTCTGTCGTCTCTGTCGTCTTTCTCATCCTTGCCACTGTCGCCCGGATATTTTGAGGTATACGCTAGAATAGGCAAGCTGTTCAGTGATCACTTCTGGGAAATACCACTCGGGAAAGCGGTCGAGGACTAGGATGCAGGAGCTTGGACAAGAAATCGGGGCATCTTCACTTGTAGAATAGATCATCAAGCAAACAAAATCAGGAGTCAGACAGAGGAAATGCTCACGGAATACTCAGTCCATTGAGGCCATCAAACGTACCAAATTCTGCGGGTTAAGGCAAAAGAAGTCCCAAAATCTGCAGTTCATGTCCGGCCTTCGCTTAGCCGTGTCAATATTTGGTATGTTTCCGTCGTTGCTTCCCTTTTTTTCCAGATAGATGAGGTTGAGGTGATGAGACTAGCTACTTAAGAAGGTAGGTGCCTGGTAGCCCGCGCCCCACTTGCTCCTGCTCCTTCTCCTGGCATCTCGCGTCGTTCAGAACTCACCTTACTTCTCCAGCTCACCTCTCTAGCTCACCTCCATTTGTAGCTCACCTCCATTTGTAGCTCACCTCCATTTGTAGCTCACCTCTCCACCTCGCCTCTTCAACCTGACTTTCACACGATCGGCAAACTATCACAATTCTCTGTTTCGGATGCGTTTTCCCAGCGGAGCAGTTTCAGCTATATACAGAAACCAAGACAAAGACAGTAGCAGCAACAACGACAACGAAGGACGGCGGCGAAAGCGATTATCCAGGAAAAGCCGTCCTGGATAACCAACTGAGCTAGCAAAACCTCTTCAGATACGGAATACCAGAAGCCCCTTCGGTTTCCAAGAGCCACAGCCTGTCAACGCCAGAAACAAAGAAGGTTCGCTGCCTTGTCACCAATGCTACTGCCCCCGTCCCCTCATCTACCGCCGAAACAATTCGAGACCAGCTGACATCTCCAGACATAGAATCATCTACCTGAAGGCCCTTTGCAGGATGACGCCCCCGAACCTCCAGTGCCTGCCAACGGAGGTTCTCCTTCTCATCGTCTCAGGTGTCGGCGAGAAACAGCGTCGGGCGGCGCTTGCTGGACTTTCGCGCGCAAACAAAACTCTCCACACAACTTGCAACCCCTTTCTTTACCACGACGCTATCAAGGACAACGCCCCGGAGATCACCACTCTTGCCGCCCGACATGGCAACTTGGATACTCTTATGAAGGCTCACGAGTACGGTGCCGACCTCAACGTCGTTACCTGGGTTCCAATCCCGTCATGGACAGAGAAAGGAAACGTCATCAGCCAAGATTGGTCTAAGATCGCCGACGATGACTTTGGCTATGCCTGGGCGACCCCTTTGGCTGTAGCCACCTGCGAGGGCCACTATCATGTTGTCAAATACCTGTTGACCTTGCATGTTGACGTCGACGCTCCAGGCAAGTTATTCTGCGACTGCGATGTTCCTAAATCAATTCTAGAGGACGCCCCGATGGATCCCTGGGATGTTCTCAACACAACCTACCTCGAGACTGTGTGTTGTGCTGGGGTCTGGACACCACTTCACTTCGCCTTATGTCGCAACAAGACCTCCATCGCGCGTCTGCTCATCAGCTGCGGCGCTTCTTTGACCAACACGAGATATCCGGTCCGAAGTCAGATCCCCCGCGGGAATGGTATCGCATCGCTCTTCGGTCTCGACACAGTCGACACACCGAAAGCAGCCGCCATTCGTAAACGTCTTGGCTCTCTCATCCTCAGTCTTGGCCCGCGGGAAATAGTACAAAGCGAGGATGGGGACACGGAAGCGGACCACGATGACAGTGTATCCGGCGCTGAATGGATCGATGACGCAGATAGTACAGCTTGTGCCATTCACACTGCAGTGACGACCGGCAATGAAGCTATTGTTCGCCTTCTCGTACTAGATCACAATGTCGACATCAACCAAGCAGACAGCAAAGGCGCAACTGTTTTACACTACGCCCTGAAGACCACACGTGTTGAAATGGTACTGTGTGTGTTGTCTCTCGGCGCAGACCCCAACATACCATTCGACAGATTTGAAAATGCTGCCGAGTGGGCGTCATTCTTGGATCATTCGCGAAAGTGGGCAAGTGGTCATTTGAACCAAGTCATGCAGGCGCTTTTGGACAGCGGAATATCTCTCTGGACTAAACGAAGAAACGCCATGGCACAACCGGGTGAAAGGTCTATGATGATCAACCGATGCGTCAACTGGTTGCCGGGAAGCAATTTTTCTCCTTACGATGGTTGGTTCAAGAGGTTCATACTTGGTTCTATTGCCGAGTACGACGAAAATCGCCATCGGAAGTTGAAGCGGGAGAAGATGGATCTCTTCTGGTCTATTCTGTTGAGTTACCAAATTCCTGTCGTAATTCTCGACGTGGTAATCAGTTTGATAGGCCCCATCGATTTCATGGAGCTTGTATCTGAGGATACCGCACCTCCGGGTGTTCATGTGGTTTCCGCTGGAGTCACAATCGGCAAGCAAGCATTCCGGTGCTTGAGAGATCTCTTCAGCCGCCCTATATGGGGAGAAGCAACAGAGGGTCGGCGCTCTGTTATTGAACGAATTGGATGGATATCGAAACAAGGAGTCCCGGTGTCGCATAAGACTTTCTGCCTCATCACCGAAATGACCAGAAGGGCACCGCATTTATGGGATAGGGATTCCTGGTAGCCGAATTGAGCGCTTGTGGCCTATTAGTAAGAATTCCGAGATGACTGCGGAAACAACGAAGATGAGAGCGCTGATAGAAGCCGGACAGATGGGGAGAAGGAATGACTTTGGATGGCGGGCTTGGAGGGATCTTCACACTGGCCTGATTGCGGCTATGGGATGGACATCATGTAAAGTAGATCAATCACGCCTCAGAATCAGGAGAGACAGACAAAATCAAGACCAGCAAAGTAATCCGGCGAGCTTCTGACCTAGACAAAACGCTGTTTAATTCATTGGGGGGTATCAAATGCACCATAAACCTCACTTCGCCCTAACCTTCCGAATAACGACCCTCTTCCCGTCAAGCTCCCATCCGACCTCGCGCTGCCCCGTCAACACATCCCACTTCTCGCCCGCACACCTCTCCAACCACTCCAAATCTACACCCAAATACGTCCTCCCAAAGCACTTCAACACATGCGTCCGCATCTCCCCATCCGCAAACTCCAACAGCTTCGCCCGGTGCCCGTCCACGCTCCTCTGCACCCTGCGGAACGCCACAAAGTTATCATGTGCCAGCGCCGCCAGCACCGCGTCCACCTTGGCGTCCTTCAGCCTGTACCGCTGCCGGATCGCGTACGCCTCGGCGAGGTCGCCGCGCCGGCAGGCCGCGTCGAGGACGAGGTAGCCGAGGACCTCCTGCAGCTCGACGCTGGTGAGGTTCTGTGCGGGGTGAATCACGCGCAGGACGTGCAGGATGGCCGGGTGGTACGACTCCGGGTGCTTGACGAGCACGGACAGGCGGATGTTGAAGAGGTACGCCTGGATGGCGAACTCGTCGATGCGCTTGGAGGCGACGATGCCCTCGCGCAGCTTGCGCAGCGCCATCATCACGTCGGAGAGAGCTTTCGTGTTGGCGGGGTCGTCGGGCGGGAGGAGGCGCGGCGAGGGCGGGGTGAGGGTGTCTTTGATGTCGAGGGAGGCGAAGCGGCGGAGGAGCTCGTCGCGCTCGCCCGCGTCGGAGCAGAATGTCATGTAGCGCTCCACGATCTTGGTGTAGTAGCGTTCCTGGGTCTTGAAGTCGAGCAGTCTGTTGCGTTGAAATGTCAGCGATTGGACTTTTCACAACGAGGTTGGCAGACGTACCGGGTGTCACCCTTAGACGGCAACCCGATGCTGTCAAGCGGATCCAGGTCAACGGGCTTTAACCTCCCCCATGGCCCTGAAGGTGTGCGATTGCCGCGTCCGGCGCCGCCTGCGGGTCCTCTGTTGAAGCTCCGACCGCCTCGTCCACCTCGTCCGCCGCGGGTCGACATCTTCGTTGCGTTCAGAGGGGATTGCTGTGCCGGGATGGCGGGGTGTGTTTGGCGGCAGGGAGTGACATGTCGTCAAAACAAGAGACGAGAGGTACCATCCCACCTGCTTATCTTATCTAATCGCCGACGGGTGCCAAGAGCGGGCCAGAGCAGCTTCCGAGTCAATTCGTGAAATCCGGGGTACTCTTCCCGCTTTGAGTGGAAGCAATGACAATTATTCAATCCCGAGGAAGTTTGCCAAAGATCTGCCCGCCTTCAATTGACCCAAGTTGAAGCATTTACACACTCGAGCCTAGGCCCGGCGATCTGGTTACCCAATGCCGACACCCCTCCCCCACCACCGCACCCTCCTCCCGGGGGCGGGACGGTGAAGCCGCGGGGAACCTCGGCAGGCCAGGGTGAGCTTCAACTCAGAGCTCCAACTGCAACGCTGAGTGAGCTCATCTTCATATACAACACCAAGCCTTTCACCACCACCAAACCCCCCTCTCAAACCACAAATCCCAGGAAACCAACGCCAAAATGACAGACCGCATCTCCCAAATCGCCTCCCACCTAAACTACCCCAAAGGCCTCTTCGCCGGCCAAGTCGCCATCATCACCGGCTCAGGGCAAGGCATCGGCGCCGAAACAGCGCGCCTCTTCGCCAACGAGGGCGCCAAAGTAATCATCTCCGACATTGACGCAGCCAAAGCCCGCTCCGTCGCCGACGCCATAAACTCCACCCACGGCGGCGGCCGCGCCCTCGCCGTGCCGGGCGACATGCTCTCCGCCGACTACATCGCCACCCTCGTCTCCCAGGCCGCCTCCTTCGGCAACGGCAAGATCCACCACATCGTCAACAACGCCGGCTACACCTGGGACGGCGTCATCCACAAAATGTCCGACGCGCAGTGGGACACCATCCTCGCGCTGCACTCGACCGCGCCGTTCCGCCTCGTGCGCGCCGCCGCGCCGTACTTCCGCGTCAAGGACGGCGAGAACCGCTGCGTCGTCAACATCAGCTCGACCTCGGGCGTGCACGGCAACGCGGGCCAGGCCAACTACGCCATGGCCAAGGCCGGCGTCACGGGGCTGACCAAGACGATCGCGAAGGAGTGGGGCCCCGCGTTCGGCGTGCGCAGCAACACCGTTGCGTTCGGCCACATCAAGACGCGGCTGACGGACGCCAAGGAGAAGGGCGCGTTCATCGTTGGGCCGGGGGGTGAGAAGATTGCGCTGGGCATCCCGCAGGCGCAGAAGGCGGCAGCGGCGGGCGGGGAGGAACAGGCTCACGCGGATATCCCGCTGCGCAGGCCCGGGTCGCCGACGGAGGCTGCGTCCGCGGTGTTGGCTGTGGCGAGTCCGCTGTTTAGTTATGTGACGGGGCAGACCATCATGGTGACTGGCGGACGCAACATGTGAAGCACGAACAAGCAGACTGAACAAAACTGTGTAATTTTTCCATCGTCCTGCAAATAATTAGGTATCGGTACTCTTCTGTGATTTCCCGTTCCCCCCAACGCCCATAGCATGCGTTCCAAATATCCGCACACATCAAAACACCTCGGTATCATATCTCTCCCCCTTTCTTCCTCCCGTCTCAAACCTTGAGCCAAAGCGAGAGCACGCCCTTCGCATACTCCACAATCTCATCCCCGCCCAGCTTGCTGTCGCCGTAAATCCGATCGACAAACGTAATCGGCACCTCTGCCACCGAGCACCCCATCGCCTTGGCGCGCACCATCATCTCCATCTGGAACGTGTACCCCTTGCTCTCCGTGCTGCCAATCACCTTCTCCAGCACGGCTCGCTTGTACAGCCGGAAGCTGCCAGTCAGGTCGCTCACGCCGGGGCGCAGCACCGTGTCGGCGAACAGGTTCGCCCCGCGCGAGACGAACTTGCGCTTCAGGTCCCAGCCGTAGACGCCGCCGTCCCCGGCGTAGCGCGTGCCCGTGACGATGTCGCAGTTGCCCTCCTTCTGCCGGGCGACCATCTGCGGGATGAACTTGGGGTGGTGCGAGAAGTCGGCGTCCATGATGATGACGAAGTTGCCCGTCGCGAACTGCAGGCCGTGCACGTAGGCCGTGCCGAGGCCGAGCTTGCCGGAGCGGGTCTTGAGGACGACGTGCGGGGCGTAGGCCTTGACGAGCTGCTCGGCGACGGTCTGCGTGCCGTCGGGGGAGCCGTCGTCGACGATGATGAGTTCCCAGTCGAGCTTGCTGTTTTGCGGGGGTAGATGGTTAGCGGGCGTTGTCTTCTTCCATTCGATTCCAATTGATAGGGTATAGGAGAAAAGATAGGAGGGAAGGCGTGTGCTGCTTACTGCTCGGTGAATGTGCGGTTCAACAACCAAGCGACGATGGGCAGGTTGTGACGCTCGTTGTAGGTCGGGAGGATGACGGAGTACTTGTTGGCCGCCATTTTTGCGGTATCGGGAGGGAGATTCGGGATGCAAAAAGCCCACGGGCACAAGAGAAGCAAAAGCCGCGTTGGATCGAAGGCGCGAGGAGAAAGGAGCGTGGTCAAGTTGGCTGGCGCGGTGTGGTGGTGGTTTTCGGGAGGCGTCAGGAGGGAGCTTTCCAGCGATGCTGTCCTTTGGCGTTGGTGGAATGCCAACCTTGAGTGGTTCGGATGACTAAGCTTGGTCCAGCCCCTGAATCCAAGGGGGTGGTGGTGGAGTTGCAGGGCGGGACGCTGGAGCTGTGACGACGACCTCTGCAAAACCCATTGGCTTACGATTGTGACGTACGAATAGGTATCCGCAGAGTGTTTTGAATTATGATGGACTTTCTACGCATTTTCCGTTTTCTCCCACAGGAAAACTTGAAGATCAAACATTTGCGTGAGCGGACCTGGATTCAGCGCCCTTCAATTTTCCTGAGCTTAGGTACGCTGATGTTTGTTGCTCAACATGAAGCCTCAACCAATAGCGCCAGACAACAGCAATTCACATGCAACTCAGATCCTAGTGAACATGGTGGTCAAGATTCTCATTAAACCTATAATCTATATCCCCAGCAACGTCGCCGAGGACCTGGGAGCACCGTAAGCCCCATGCAGTTTCAGTCTATATCTCGTATCTT